TTCTGCACATCCACTCGCCGCTTCTCCCACCTTTTCCATTTCATGCTCTCCCTCTTGAGAGGACTCCTCTCATCATCCAATTGAAAAGCTCCAGCAAAGAGGAGACATGCATCCAGAAAAACACCTCGAGCACACAGCTATCATCCTCTTCACAAACCCTTCCCTCCCAATTCAAATATTTTGTACTCTCCTAATACAGCAAAATTAAAAACAAACTGTTCTTTCTCTCAGCTACTCTGTAAATAGTCAAAACCCTCCACTGCACTTTTGGGGGTTTTTTCCCCTAAGTAAATCTTAAGACTCTGGGTTCTTTTTACCTAAAATAACAAGGTCAGTTCTTCTCTCAGCAGGCTGGATTGCCTCTCCCCATCCAGAAACACACACCCCAGGGAATGAGTGAGTGGCTGGCTCCAGCCCTGCACAATACCTCTCACATCACAGGAGATTTCCTGGACACACTTTCATTTCATGGAGTATTTCCAGCTCCCTTCAGTGTGCAAAAATCCCATCTCTTGGCCCGTAATCTGTGGCAGGCCATTTGAGTGACATGGACCTGTTGGCACCACAGGGCAAGCCAAAAACTGAAAACCAGAATCTCCAGGGAGGAGAGATTTATCCTGGGGACAAACTCATGCACATATTTATACACAGAGCTAAGCGAGCAGAATGCTTGAAAATAAAGGATAAAGAGAAGCAGTCCAGAAAGTGTTTGACCTGTAGGCTAATTTTCTATTCCAGGATTTGATTCTGCCACCAGCACCACAAGACACTGAATTTCCCATAAAAACTAGATCCAGATATGGACCCTGGGGAAACCTTGAATTTCTGCTTCACTGGAAAATTGGCTACTTTGACATCTTTTTGTTTTAATTCAGTGTATTTGTAAGATGTTCATGCATTTAAAAAGGCTTGGTTTATCTTGTTTAATGATTCGACCCTTGTATTAGTGTGTAAACTGCTAGTTACATGGCATAATACCTAAATGAATAATTTTCATAATCAGTAAGAATATCTTCTACTTAATGGTGGTTGAACAACCTATTGGTTTGTATTCAGAGTGTTTACAGTGTCGTAGCTGTCCCAGAAGGAGAGATCGATTCCAGTGTCAAAGTCTTTCAGCATGGCAAACAACAAAACCTTCAGAAAGATGACTTGTTCCCCTTGGAAATTAAGACATAAAGAATAAAGTAAAATATTTCAAGCATTATACTGAACGATGTTACTGACATGGTGTAAAACATGTTAATAATAATATAAAAATCAAATCCCTTCATGGGTCAAAATGAAGCTTCAGAACTCAGACAAGAAATTCTGAAAAATCCCGAAAGGAAATACCTTGAAAAATATCTACTTCAAAACTTGTTTGTCGCTTCTGAATCTTCATCATATTTTACAATGAAAATTATTTTAATTTCATCTGATTCCACTTTTCATTAAAAACTCTAAGAAAAAGGTCCAACCAGCTGCTATTTTGTAATGCTTATTCTAACTGGCATTTCCTGAGCTTATGAAAAACAAAGCACTCCATTTTACTTATATGAATAGGGATGCTCTATATCCCATGTATAAATACTAATTTTTTTACAGGTCTTCTCAGTGACTTAAGACAGTTTAAAACTCACAGCCAGGGAGTTGTTCTGCTTCTAACCTTCAACCACATTTTCAGGGATAACTATATCAGTTGTGAGGGCAGAGCGGGGACTAGCTGGTCCATGAGGGATAGCAAACCAGGAGCCGAGGCAGGATAAGAAATCAGGTGGAAGCAGCAGCTTCCATCAAGGACCAGGATGCAGAGTCGCAACTCTGGGTGACTCTCAGGGTCAAACATCATCCAGTGTTCTACTGGGATGTCCACAGTGACTCAGGACTCTCACTGGCAATGGAGGTCCCTGTAGACTCAGCCAGCTAAATGCTTTACCTTTGCCAAGTTATCCAGAACAGGAGTGCACATCTAGCCCGGACATCAGTAACTCAGCAACATAGCCTTAGCAGCTAAAGGTACAGAATATAGTTGAAAGAAATATGCACCTTATGTGAAAAAGTTCAAGAACGTGAATGGGTGACTGTATTAAAAAAAAGCCTGTTACTGTTGCCTTCTTGAAATGCACCAACATGCCCCTTAATTAAGAATAGAATAAATAAAGACTATGGGAAAATATTTATCAGGAGAAATCATTCATCAAAATTAAAGCATATAAGAACAGTTTGAGAAACCTCAGTGCATGTTTGCCAGACAGACATGTTCCAAAGCCTCCCACCGAGCCATACAAAACAAGTTATGATATTACAATGTAGGTTTTAATGCACGTGGAAAATACCCCAAATAAAACTAACTTACAATTGGATTTTTTTTTTCTAAAACAACAGCTCCAAATTCCACCAAGACTAATGGAAATCTTACCGTGTACATCAGCAGGCTTCATGCAGGCTGAGTGCTACATGGCACATTGATTTCTGCCTCCAGCAAGGGTCCACCTGTGGGGGTTAGCAACTGGAGGGTGAAAGAAATTATGATGGCCTCATTCATTTACAATCCCTCCGTCAGTTCTTGTCCAGTTCCTCACAGTGGTAAATATCAGACATGCAGTCTTTGCTCCTTGCAGGACAGCTAGAGACCTTGCACGTTAGCTTTGTTTCCCTTGCTCAAATGATGAAAAAAGAACTGTGGCAGTCAATGTAGAGGGTAGAGTGTAGATGGTACAGCTGATTTCCTTTCTATCTCGTATATCATGAGCTGCAAAAATACATCCTGAAGAATACAAAAACTGGGGAAAATAAATGATTTTTCCATTGCCTTTATTTTTCATCTTAAATTTTAATAGAGGTTGAGACTGCTTAAATGCTCTAAATATGAAGGCAATTTTTATAAATGTGGTGTGACTTTCAGCTAAAGTAGGAGCATTTGGCACCTGGAAAAGCTTCCCACCTCCTCAGAAGGCCTCTTTTCATGCTTCTGAGGAAATTGAAAATTACGACAGAGACTTTCAAAACCTGTGTAAAAAATAAACACTAAGCAATGTTGGCACATACACAATGAGAGAACTCCAGATATCTGGATTGTTTTAATATAGCTACGATGATTCAACAACAGCATGTTGCAGATTTAAATTGTTTCTGAGGATTTCTATAGCAGGCAGGAACAATCATGATATTGAAAAGGCGCTATTCTAAACAAAAAAATTACTCCACTGGAATTGTTAGCTCCCTGCAAATTCTGTAAAGAGTCTTTTAATATTAATACAGAACCATATTCACATTACTGAACAGATTTCAACATACAGTTGGAAGAACACCTAATATATACGAATCATACCCACCTTTATTAGAAAGAAAGTAAAGCAATCAAAGGACCATTCATTTCTTAGAGTGATAGCTCTGTAACTGGGCTAATATTCAAATATGATAGGATTTTGCTACTGATCTTCAAAATTAATAGCAAACATATATATATAATGGATTCAAATTCACAGAGTAGATATAGGAAGCAAAATTGTTTGTTTTCTTAGCTATATAATAATAGCATTGCATCAAATACTGTCACACTCTGTAGATATGAACAGAATTGTACGGTCATTGTTTATATACCATGGTATGTAGAGTTGATAAGAGTCTTGCCTTGCTGTAGCAAAATCTCTGGGACCACATGTCAAATCCACGATGGATATCCTGTAGGTCAACCTCCCATAATGATCAGATGTATATTTTGCTTACTGTGGTACAAAAAGGACGATTTCTCCTTAACAATCATCTTAAAAGACTGTGCAAGGTATTTCTGAAAAACCATAGTCAGAGATCCTGCAGTCACAAAATCACGGAATGTCTTCCTGTGGCTAATAGCAAGATAAAATGTCACACAACCAACTCCTAGGAAGATCCAAAGTAATTCATCATTTCCCTTGTGAAATTATGTTTTTCTTTTTCCAAATATACATCACATTTTCTGCCACATGTGATTGTAAATTGGGTACATAAACTATTTGTTCAAAATTACTTATTACTGATATATACATAATCAGGAAAATCCTGGAAACTTTTGCTGCTTTTCAGAGGGTCATCTTTACAATTTGAGTACACATATAAGCTGTTTTCCTATTGAAAGGAATTACTAGCTAAACTGTCTTTATGAGATTCATTTTCTGGGTATAAAGTCTGCTTTAAATTGTGGAGGACTGATATTTTGTTTGTTTTGTAACAGGATGCACCGAGATCATTTCATACAAGTGTGAAATGTGTTTACTTTAAGAAATTAGGGGCCTGTAACAATTCATGCACTGAATCATTCTCAACTAAGGAATGCAGTAAACCAAAATCTTACTTTTACCTTTAGCCAATCCCAAAACACCCATCTGGCTGGGTTCCCTCTTTCAGTATTAAATTATAAGAATTTTATCCTCTTTCAGCACTAAGACTCAGTTTACTTAAGTGCCTCCTTGTCATCTACCTGTGAACAGTTTAATAAAGAAACATTAAAAAATTGGTAGGACTGCTGATTTGGTTTGTTTTAGCTGTTGTTCTTTTTTTAAAAAAAAAAAAAGTTGTAATACCTTCATATCCAAAAAGCTTACAGTAATAGTCGTACTTGTTAACTGGAATATACAAAAATTTGCCTTTTTACTGAAATATCCCTGTAGCACTACAAGCAATTAACATTCATAAGTAAAAACTTTGCTATGATAAGAGAATATCAGAAATCTACTTCTTTAGAAATAATCATTCTAACAACTAGAGGCCAAATTCTGCCTTCCCTTATAATCATGCAGTTGCACTTGTTAAACTGTTGTGAGGACAGAATTTAGCTCCAAACCACATCTTTATCTAAATACATATATTTTCCTACAGAAAAAAACAAGCTATGTCTTATCACTGCTCTTCCCTTCTGAAGGGTAAATACTGATATTTGAAATACCTAAATTGTATTTACAGCTGTACAACACTGATGCCGTGTACTTGCAAAATACCACTTGTACTCTATAAACACAGGGTAACTTGTACAATCAGCTTAAAACCTTTTCTTAAAATAAAGAGCAGATAAGCTTACACATTTTCTTTGTCAAATTCACACACAAAATACATGGTAATATGACACGCAACATCATTCCACCCTCCGGACGCCACCATCTCCACACAGTCCTCCTCGTCGTAAGCGTTGTTGGGCTCCCCACTGCGCCATTTGTTGAAGGTCTGCATGGGCGACCGGTCAGAATAGACAAAATTTCCCTCTTTCTCTAGGTCATTAATCCCAATGAAAACTCTGGTGAGGCCAGCTTGGTTGATGTATGAGGCGATCAGATTGTTGGCAGTCTCATCCTTGGGCATGCTCAGCGTTCCTCCTCTTCCGTGGCAGTAGAGCTGGGCTTCCTTGTATCGTTTCTCTTCCTTCACCAGCAGATATATCTTATTATCTGTCTCACGCACACCAGCAACAGCTGCGGGGGAGGGCAGTGCTGAAAAGTGAGCACTCGCATTTCTATAAACCAAGTTACTGTACACCCAAAAATAGCTTCACAGATCAGTTGTGGAATGGTGTCTCTCCTTACGAGCAATTACACCAGTAAAATGAGGCAACAAGAAAGGAAAATATTTATAAGAAATTAACCTACCATTTTTTATGAATTTTAGTTCCGTTGTCAGCTGGGCCACTTGGATATCCATTTCACCAATAGCCTTCCTTAGCTGGCTGCACTCACAGGGGATGCCTGGGAAATCACGTAGATACACTAATATAAAAAATCTCTGTGATTTCAATAATTATCTAAACAAATTTAAGGAAAGGCCTAGCCTGGCAGCCCTGGAGAGGGATGTTTTGAAAATAACAGACAGGAACTTACAGAGCCTTCCTTACCCTGCACCATCATAAGGTTCTTATAGGTGTCTGGGTCTATTCAGAACAGTTCCCTTGACTTCCCATGAACCTTCAGCCCTGCATGACTAGTGCTAACCTAAACACAGACAGATGTTCCCAGAAAAAAAAATAAATACAGTTGGCGAGGCTTTTTTACCTAAAAGTATTTGTCAAAATTCCCATTTTGAATCAAAAAATTATTCTCTTTTGTCTTCTCCAAAGAGAACTTTCTTCACAATGAAAATCTGCACAGAGCATCGTTTGCCTGTTCCTCATGAGGAACATAACATAGCAGATACAAAAGGCTAATGTTTCAACCATGTAATGCACATGGTAGTCCTGTACTATTGAAAGCATGGAATTTACAGTGATTTTTCCAATAAAATAACAGAAAACCATCTATTAACCCAAAATTATATTTTTTGACAAAGATAATCTGAATGAGAATACTAAAAGCGTAATTGTTACATGTATGAGCTCAAATCTCAAAATGAGGACAATTACAGTTTTCGGTTTTGTAATTATTTAGATTTGCATTTGACTACACAATTACTCAGCTTAGGTGTCTAAGTCAGGCACTTGGTACTTACACTGCAAAATTGTGCTTGATGACCAGGTATATGACACTCAGGCTCAAGAATTAGAGTGACCAATTACGAGAAAACTAACTGATGCATCTCTCATGCACCCTGCCAGGAAGGGTAAAATCTGAATCTGCCACTTAACCTAATCTGCTTAAACTTCTTATGCCAAGTTTTCACATTTTTCTTTGGAAGATCTGTACCCTTGGTTATCGCCTGCTCCTGCAACAATAATCCACAGAGAGGCGGGATATTCCCACCTGCTTGTTTGTGTTGGCTGGAAGCCAGAGTGGGATATGAAGAGATGTCCCTTTCCACTGGTGATGAATAATATAGACAGTTGCATTCAGGTCCCGCTAGTCTTCTGGAGTGATCACATCTCTGAGAAGCTCTGAGACATTGTTTCAACAAATACCACACCTGATGACGATCCTTCATTTTCTTACACTCGCTATGATTCTATTTGTTTCAACAAATACCACACATAGCACCTCTGCTATGAGGACAGGCTGAGGGAACAGGGATTGTTCAGTCTTGAGAAGAGAAGACTCTGGGGAGACCCAGTAACTGCCTTCCAATACCTGAAGGGAACCTACAGGAAGGCTAGGGAGGGACTTTTTACAAGAGCATCCACTGATAGGACAAGGGGAAATGGGTTTAAGTTGAAGGAGAATAGATTTAGATTAGATCTTAGGAAGAAATGCTTCAATATGAGGGTGGCAAGACTTTGGAATAAATTGCCCAGAGCTGTTGTGACTGCCCCCTCCCTGGAGGTGTTCAAGGCCAAGTTGGACGGAACCTTGACTAGCCTGATCTAGTTGAGAGGTGTCCTTGCCCATGACAGGGAGGTTGGATTAGATGATCTCTAAGATCCCTTCCAGCCTAGGCCATTCTATGATTCTATGATACACCACAAGTGCAGCAACTACTCCAACTTCAATAATTTTAAGTAACTTGAAAATATTGCAGTGAAATATTACAGTGCTTATACAAATATTTAATTTTTCATTGTTTCCCCCCCATATGTAAGCAGACATGTATTTTTGCTGATCATGCATGCATCTTATAAAATCCTTCACATACACAAAGCGTTTCATGGATTACCTGGGTCACCATTAGGACCTGGTGGTCCTATGTCACCATTATCTCCTTTTTCACCTAAAGACATGAAAAATAATATAAATTTAAGACAGCTTTTTTGGTCAACAGTTCATTTGGCATTCGTTTATTTTTACTCTAGTAACATTAAAATGTGGAAAGTAGACATAGGCCCAAGCAAAACCAAACTCTATTCTGTCTTAGTCGTTTCACAACGAAGGCCATCCAAAGGTATGTAACTTGAACACAAAGATTATATACCAATATCCATTTTTTACATTCATGATCTTCACAGTGCTAGTAAGTTAAGATGCTGTAGAGGGGAAAGGGCTGAATATGCTATGATGGTGCCTAAATCTAGATTCATAATCCAGATGCTTAAGTAAATATTGGTCCAAATGACTTAAAGTCATGTAGGAAGTCTAAGGGGCAGGCAAGATTAGAATATAAGCTTTCTGGCTCTTAAAATCTGCTAAAACACTGTGCATCTTTTCACTTGCTTATCTTAACTGTTCACACTCATGTGATGATGCACAAAGTTCTTTATTTAGCCTTAAAACATGATTCTCACTCTGTCTTAAGGATACATACACTGCTGTCAGAGTGAAAGTTAACTGGCTTAAAAGTCATCCAGCTGACTACAGGGTAAGAAACTCCCTATTATGGTAAACTCTGAGACTTGTTAACCATTTTTCAAGCCCCTAAATTTTGCTCCAACATAAATGCTCACAGATTTTTTTAAACTGAAACACAAATGGAGAAACAACTGAATTAAGCATACCTTTTGAACCAATAGGACCGATTTTTCCATGCCGTCCTATGCTGCCTTTCTGTCCTTTGTCCCCCATTTCTCCTATAGGTAACAGAAAGATGAAAGACATAAGGTAGCAACATAATGTGAATTTTTCAGATTCTGCCATGCTTGCAGTATTAGCTTCTACAGTGAACAAAAACACACTATACCCCTAATACTCACTGAATTCCAGAGGTCTATGTCACTCCTTGCCAAGAAATTACATGTAACAACCTGGACAGTGATTTAATCTTTGAAAAACAAGTGGAATTAATGAGATGTGCAGATGTGAATAAAACCAGATCTTGGTTGACAGCCACTGGAAAAACTTTTGCAAACTTCTCTCAGATGAGAAAATGCCAAAAATTATGTTGAAAGTGGGGGTTCTCAGTCAAACATGGATCAGTGGATTAACATTGTCACAGAGTTGAGAAGACCTAAACGACCCAAGCACAATTGACAGTTTTATCTAATACAGTAGCTCTACTGGAATTGAGGGCTAAATTTGGTCTTAATGGTTTATTTATACAATATAACCACTGTGGAAGCACTCACATCCTCATTCTTTGCTCCTGCATTTGAAGATTACATTCATGACAAATGAAAATTAATGGAAATCTTACATATATATACATAGATACATGCAAATGCTTATACAAAGTTTGACTCAAATCAGCAGTGTTGAATATTGCTAATTTTAAAGACAGTTCTATAGAATACTGCGAAGTGCAGTCATAACAAAGGACCTGCTAAAAAATCATTTTCCCCAGTTTGTTTTTACGAATAAAAGTCAACTATCTGCCTCTTAAAGTCAATTGAAATTGTCAATAAATCTACATGAACCAACCACTGTCACCTATCTGTGTCCATGAGATATGCCCAGAAATCTAATGTAACACAGCTTGATTCACTTACTTTGTCTGACTGACTACTTTTCCATTAGTTGTACTTCCCTATGTGATGCAAACTGAATATTAGAATGGCTTCAAGGGAAACTGAATTTTCACTGGAACAGGCAGCTTCTTTGTCATCAGTGTCTTTACAAACCAAGCTGAAGCACTGTCACTAATAAAATGTGTGCCATAGTCCAAGGACTGATGTCATTGATCTGAGGTCCTCCAGAGCTCAAATAATAAATCAGATAAAACATGCCTGTTACATCATGCCGTTTCTCTCAATCATTATGAAGAATAACTGTCTTGATGACGTGAATGTGAGAGAAGAGCTTTAGCCTGTAATAGCAAAGCCTTATTCAATCCCTCTTTACTGAAAGAGTGCTGAAGCACTGGAACAGGCTCCCCAGAAACTGGTAGAATCACCATCCCTGGAGATGTTTAAAAAATATGTAGAGGTGGCACTTCAGGACATGGTTTAGTGGTCATGGTGGTGCTGAGTTGATGGTGGGACTGGATGATCTTAGAGGTCTTTTCCAACCTTAATGATTCTATGATTCTATGCCTATAGAGCTCATCTACAACTTTAGGGGATCAGCAATTGAAATTAATAAGAACTACTCATCTATTAGAGTAAATACAGCAGGCTTACTGATGACTAAAGGTTTTGGCTTCTTCACAGAAATAAACTCTAGGTAGTCTAAGATTGTCAGATTATTATTTCTAAATGATACTGTGGTTCTGGCATCAGGTTGGACAGGATTCCCCAGTTTGTTTTAGATAGACTTTCTGAGATCTGTGAAATGAGATCCTTCATTTTTTTACAGTCACTATGCAGTGAATATGGCAGAGTTTGCCTGATGCGGCACTTCCTATGGCCCGAGGAACCTCAGGAAATATATCAGTGTATCTCAGTGTGCACTAGTGATATCCTTTCCCAGGTGCAACACCCAAGCATATCAATGCTCTGCCATCAGGTCTAGGCCTCTTTGTATCATGATTTGATGGAGAAATGTGGTTTGGAGGCAGCACAGCTGAACAGCTACATCATATGAGATGTTTCCCACTGCACTACACAGTATTAATGGAGAGCATGTATGGAGGGACTACAGAGCCAAGAAGACAAACGCCTTCAGAAGCTCCCGTCCTGCAGAAACCCCAGTACAAAGACTGCTTCAGGAAATATTTATGCTTTTCTTTTTTAATGATCATTGAAAATAATGTTTCTTTGATCAAAGCAACATCTGTTATGCATTGTTTAGCTACACAGGAACCAATGAGGCAAGTCAGGAGGAAAATCTACCACAGGGATCCAGTAACTGAACTTGTGTAAATATTCACCAGCCAGCGTCAGTTGTGGGTCTATAACAACTGAAGATCTGTTGCCCTTTGTTGTTACTGCAACTGGACAGGCAGTCACACTTCCCCTATATATTTTTAAAAGTTGGATAAGTTAGGATCCATTTCATTATTACCTTTAACTTAAAAGTGTAGTCAGTAGCAAGTTTCAGAATAAAATCTGAACACCACTGAGCTAAGAGATGTACTCTGTATTACTCCATGAAGTCTCGAGAAAATGTCTCTTGATGGCATGAGTCAAGAAGAAATAATTTCCTCTTAACTGAAAGAAGCTGAATACGTATGGCTTGTCGGTCTCATTAGTTACTGGGAAGTCCTAAAATCAATTATTTTCCTTTGTTTCCAAAAAGGATCAAGTTCAGTCACCACTGGATAGGGGCTTAGTTGGGAAATTTTACCAGAAACCAAAAATATTTTTCTCTTATGCTATATATTCCTGCTAGAAGAATGGAAGTGATCCACTTGGCCAGCTGAAGATCTACTTTCTGGAATATAGCTTCACTTTCAAACTTAGAATGATATGGCTTGTCTTAAAGATGAAATCCACTAGGCTGTGAAGGTTATAAAGGTACTGATATATACTGATATTTAGTTATAAAGGTATTGATACATATTGATATATTGATATTTATTCAATATAGATAGCATGTTGAGAGAGTATTTACTTGAAAACCTCTGAAGTATCAGGTTGTAATGAATGAGTTTATCAAGTTACTCCGAAAATAACCTTTCTTGCTTTGGATATTTAGGAACTGGGATGACTGTAACAGATTGTCAGATGTTTGAATGCTTTCTCTTTTCAGGCTGCTACACCTGAAATTAAATAAACACATAGAACTAATGCTATGATATAATAATTGATATGATATATGATATGATTATGATATGATATGATTATGATTATGATATGATATATGATGATGTGGTATATTACTTCCATTTCTTTCTCACAAATACTGCCCAGAAAATGAACTGCTTCTCAGTAATAGCCAGTAAAAGCTACATGATCCACTCAGAAGTAAAAGTGTGTTATCTCAAACAATGAAGACATATGTTAAGTCTCCTGTGCTCATTAAAAGAACTGTTTGGATTTGGTTTTCTCTTACAGTCACTAAACCCTGCTTCTACTCCAGGGGCTTGCTTATTCTGCTTCTTCTGCAGAATAAATCACAAGGTTTCAAGAAAGACCCATCTGCCTTGAGGGTTTCAAAAGTTTTAACGCCCTTTGTAAAGTCCTTTTTAGTGGTCCTATGATTTCCAAAAATGCAGGCTAAAGAGTCTTAATGAAATCAGAAAGTGAGAGCTGGAAAGAAATGGGGACAATGAAAGAAATTAAGTCTCCATAGACCAAAAGTAAGAAATCTAACAGAAAGTTTGAATGGAGAATATGAAGTAAGTCATCTGTCATCTCTCAGATGAAGGTGGTATACGCTGGAACTAATTACAGAAGACTTAAAGGATTTTGGCAGAAAATGGAGAGAATGAAACTCTAAATGATTTTCTTGATGGCCTTTTTAGGACCATGAACAAGAGAAGAAATAAAATACCAGAGATGAATGGTGGCCTGCACAACCAGCTGAAAAATGAGGGCTTTGTCTCTCTGCAACATTATAAATGGGGGGTCTTCATACAGTATGGTCAATCTTCCAGACAGGATTAATTGGAACAGGCAAGAAGGTATAAAATTACTCAAAAAAAAAAAAAGGTGTCAAAAAGACAAATCCAGCAGAACCACAAACTCACCATGTCACAGACAAACTGAATTCTGTCAAAGAGAGCACACAAACTTAAGAATTTGAAGAAAAAGCAGATAGAAATTCTTCATTATTTGACATAGCAGACATCACAGACACCTACCCAACAACCGAAGTAGAAGTGTAGAAAGCCAGACCAAAGGCCTCTTGACTCTAGTGCCATATTTGACAGCAATCTGCAGAGGATACTTAGAAGAATGCAGGATATAGACTAAGATAACAATGTCTTTCCCACAGTGTACCTCCTTAGTCTTGCAGCAGTCAGCATTCCCAACACATATATTTAGCCTGACAGGATCGAGAACAGTATTTTTAAAGGATATAATGATGTTATGGTATGGTAGTAACCTACATTCAGGATGCTCACCTTTTTAAAACTACTGGCAACTGGAAATCAGAAAATCCTGAATACACCAACAGACTACAGTACTGCTTTTTCCTAAATAATCTGATTTATTCACACTACTGAAGGTTGGTGATTGGCTAGGGAACAGTGGTTTCACCACAGTTACATGTTATATGAACAAAGAGCAGATAATTGCAAGTGTCATTTTATGTAGTTGGGGCAAATTAATGTCACCTAGCATTAGCCACCTGAAAGTTAGGTTTTTAGTCTAAGCTAATTACCTGAGCTCCCTTGCTAGGCAATGGAGAAATAAATGCCTTAGCAGTGATCCATACCACTGATGTTAGACAGGTATATTACTGACAAAGTGAAACTTTAAAAGGTTTGCATAACAAACAGGAGGAAAAGAAGAGGAAACTATTATCAATCCATACTGACTAGAAATCAGAAAGGCTACAAAATTTCAAAGGAAACTAAAGATAGCAAGAAAAAATGCAACCTAGGAAGGCAGCCTAAAAGTTTAGAGGATTTTAAAGCATATTCCTTACAAAAGAAATGAAAATTGTATGGTCCATTCCTGTATGAGGGAGTTTATATTTGGATGCACATAAAAACAAATAACTGCCCTTACAAAACCCACATCTTGCCAGAATTACGTTAACAATGTAATATTGAGCTTGTCTAGATCAGTGGCCCCTCGAGCCCGAG